CAGGTAAATCCACACGATTCTAAATAATTCAAATAAAATGACTGGAAGAGGGCAGTGGAAAATTACTACTGTGAGAGCCATCTGATCAAGGATAACTGGGCACTATCATTCACTCCAGAATTCTTGTGTTTCATAGGATAAATCTGAGTCCATTCAGCAGTGGAAAATAAAGGGTGACAGAAGAGAGCTACCATGGTTACTGTAACGTTAGAGGTTTGCAAGACTCTACTGAGGAGATGAGTTCCCTTCTCCCAGAAAGATCGATCAATGTCATTTTACACACACAAAAACATTACACAGCTCAAACTGCCACAGGGTCAGCTCTTGGGAAACACAAGCCAGATTGTAACTAAGTAGGATTAAAGGATTACATTTCATTTATATGTTCAATTGTCTCTCTCAGCTTTTCTTCTTATTACCATAGTACTGGGGACGTTTATACTTGGCCTTCTTAAAAAATATACTATTCTCAACTTATCTGAAGAGAAAAAGAATACCAATACTTGGTAGAAGCAAAAAGAAATAAAAAAAATATAGTGTATAGATGTGTAATGGCAATATAAAATCAGCCTGGTCATATTAAAAAAAAAATGAGATGGGTTTGCCAGTCCTGTTCCCATAGGCCCCCTTTTGTCTGCATCCCATCTTTTCTTCTGCGAATTCCGAATGGGCAATGAGAGGAAAGTCCCCCCTCTTCCAAAGTACAACTATCCAGGAGCCCATTTTCCCCACTCATCTTATTGTCCATGACAGATTTTAAATGGTCACAAATTCCTTGACATTTCCTCATGCAGATGAAGACTTATATTCCCTCTCCTTGAATTTAGGCAGCCTCTGTGACTTTTTTTTTTTTTTTTTTTTAAGAGACAAGTCTCATTCTGTCGGGTGGAGTGCAGTGGCATAATCCTGGCTCACTGCAGCTCCAAATCCCTGGGTTCAAGCAATTCTCCCACCTCAGCCTACCAAGTAGCTAGGACTATGCCCAGCTAATTTTTTAAAATTTCCTTTCAGAGACAGGGTCTCAGTATGTCTCCCAGGTTGAAGGGCAGTGGCACAATCACAGCTCAGTGCAGCATTGAACTCGCGGGCTCAGGTGATCCTCCTGCTTCAACCTCCTGAGTAGCTGGGACTACAGGCACTCACCACTGCACCCTGCTCTTTGTGACTATTTTGATAAACAGAATGCTGTGGAAATGATGCGGTCTGGTATCTATGCCCAGGCCATAAGAGATTGGAATCTTTGCTCTTGGAGCCTGGAGCTGCCATGTAAGAAGCCTGTATCCAAAAAGAGCTGGCGGAGCCCAGCCTTCAGTCATTCCTGCTAAGGTACCAGGTCAGCTGCCAGCTGAATACCACCAGTGGCCATTGTTTGAAGTCACTAAGTTTTGGTGGTTATTTTATTGCATAGTAATAGATAACCACAGCTTGGTCCTAGAACAAGGGGGTAACTTCAGTTTGCTGGCTAAATCAGGCCTCTCATGCCTTTATGAAGTTTGATTGGAATACAGCTACACCCATTTCTTTACACACTGTCTATGTTTGCTTTCCTGCTCAAGAACAGAGATGAGGAGTTTTGCAAAGCGGTCTGTGTAGCCCACAAAGCCTAAGATATTACTATCTGGCCCTTTACTTAAAAAGTTTACTGATCTCTCTGATCTATCTGCTAGAAAAAGCCTTGCCCAATACTTTTCTTGTCTTTTTTGTTTGAGACGGAGTCTTGCTCCGTCGCCCAGGCTGGAGTGCAGTGGCATCGTCTCAGCTCACTGCAACCTCCGCCTCCCAGGTTCAAGCAATTCTGCCTCAGCCTCCTGAGTAGCTGGGATTACAGGTGCGTGCCACCATGCCCAGAAATTTCTGTATTTTTAGTAGAGAGGGGGTTTCACTGTGTTGGTCAAGCTTGTCTCAAACTCCTGACCTTGTGATTCATCCGCCTCGTCCTCCCAAAGTGCTGGGATTACAGGCATGAGCCACTGCACCTGGCCAAAACCCCTATTTTTCTTTCCAGGAGAATATATAACTGACATGTTGCCATTCATCATCTAGTCTTGCTAGACTAGGAGAAAGAGATCTTAAGCTGACTTTCACCCAGGCATATAACCTTTGAAAAGCCAGTTCTCTTGGTCTCAGTTCCATCATTTGTAAAATGAGGAGATTGGACTAAGTCAATCTTTCCCTAGACATGTTCCACTGGACCCATAGGATACTCAATGGAAAAGTAGATCTGTAGTCACAATTTTAGGGGAAGCTCTGCATACTATTTGTCCTCTTGGAGATATAAAACACACATTGGCGTATTCAGGGTTCCGTAGTGAAGAAACCAGACTACCTTTGTTCACGTAAGTGTTTTCTCAAACATTTTTGGTATCAGGATTATTTTCCCATAACACTTACTGATATCACATGGGACCCATATTATAAATAATATAGTCTAGGAAATGCTATACTGGGTGCTCTTTAAAGTCTCTTTTTGCTTCAATAGTCCCTGGAGCTAGGATTAATTCTTCTGGCTACAGAGTTAACTTTTTTCAGTGCTCTTACAGACTTCCCTTCCCAAAAACTGTTGCCTTTCATTTCTTAGTAATGTGATACTCTGCCAATGTAATTTGCTGACTTTTCAGACTGGAGATACGGTGGCCAATTAAGTGAGTTGCAAATTCTCCTAAAGGAATTAAAACGACACAGTGATCACCAGTCTTTGGATGACAATTATAATTACGGTCTTGAAGTAAAACAGGGGCAAATGCAGGCACTTTTTAAGGTTACTACTGGTTTTCATAATCCAAAGATTTCTTCCCACATGCCAAAATAGAGGATATGATTCCTTCTCAGCATTACTACCGTCTGGACAGTATCAATTGAATATGTTTAATAAAGTAAACAGTGTTTAGAAAATGTTAAGTACAAGGTAACCTTATCCATCCAGACTGCCTGTTTAAAATTCCAAGTTATCTTACCAACTACATAAAAAGAGAAAGTGTTTATCCTACTGAGATAATGGTAAGGCAAGTCTGTCTTTCCAGTAATGGAGCTGTTTGAAATCTCTGACCTGGGTACAAGTCCTAAGGTAGTTCATTGTATTACTTGCTTTTACAGATGCATATATCTTTTCTTGGTTCCAGCTATGTCAGATGTAACAAACCATATTACATGTACAACTACTCAATGATCAACCCTCTCAGCAGCTAAAATCCCTCAAATTTAATAGGATACAAGAATTTTCTCTAGTAATTATTAGAATAAATGTTAATAAACTTATTTTCGTAAAAATAAAATTTCTCCAATAAATCTCTGGCATTTCTAATTCCATTTAGGTGTCTGCTTCCCAGAAGACCAAACTGATACAATTATCCTTATAAGATTGTTCCAAAAATTGGAAATAATAACGTAGTTCCTGGCTTTTGATAGCTAGACAACAAAGATTATCTTCCTTCAACTGTGAAACATTAAAAGGTCAGGGCTGGGCAATACATTCTTCTGTATTGTTCAGTGCTTTAATCATACATTCCACTGTATAATTGGGCTTCATTAGCAGGCAGCGTGAAGTTAAACTTAACAGAGCATGCCATGCTCCAAGCTATCAAATTATCTTCGGGGTAGGTAACCAGGTACATTTGTGTATGGGTGGATGGGTTACGGAGTAGGAAATTGTCTTTGGAGCCAGATAGATCTAGAATAGATTGAATCCTAATTTGCTATGTCACCTTAGGGAAATCGTTTAATCTCTGTTTTCAGTTGCCTAAACTATAAAATGGGGATAATATGGCCGATCTCACTAGGCAACTGTGAAGATTAGAGATAGTCTGTGTAAAGCATCTAGCACACTGTCTGGCCCATTGTAAGCATCGAATGAAAGGATGTATTATTACTCTTATTGTCTGACCATCCTTTCATTCATTCACTCATTCCACAAATATATATTATGGGTCTACTATGATAGGGAACTGACATACAACAGTGAGCCAGAGAGGCACAGGTTCTTACAGAGTCTACTGGACCGGACATGACATCACGCAAAATGTATCCAGTAATTATAATAAGAAAACTTAGATGGTGCTTCTTATGTGCCTGGCACTGTTCTAACAGCTTTACCACATATTCATTCACTCAATCCTTACACCAATCCCATGAGATAGGTACTTGCCCAAGATTACATAACAAGTCAGTGTGGATTCAAAACCCAAATATCTGGCTCCAGAGTCTGTGCTTTTACAGGTTATGCTGTGTTGCCTCTCTAAACATTTGAATCAGATTTCATGCTTCCATAGAGCTTAAACAATCTTACACAACTATATAAAACAATCTAATGAATCCATTGAGTAAGAAGGACAGTTATTTCCTTTACATAGACACAGAAATAGTAAGTCAGTGGAAAAAGTGGAGAGACTGGCCACTGGGGACCCAGTGCCATGTGATAGCAGTTCCCTCTCCCACCCCAGCCCGCCATTGCTCACCTTCCAACCTAGCAGCTGTTTTCTGGCAATGGCACCAGAAGAAGAGTTGCTATAATTTCGTTTTTCATCTCACTCAGCCCTGACTCTTTCATCTACTATAACCACAGGGCCTCTCTAGTTCCAATCAATTCTTGACCTTCAGTGTTATAATCTTTTATGCCTGCTGGAATTTTCTTGCAGAAAAGTTAAAGGAAGGTAAAATAGGTATGTTTTCTTTTGTTCTCTTCTTAAGCATATCCACATGACTGGAGGCTGAATGCTAAATGGTTTGCTGCATGTTTGCAAAGCAAACAAGGTAGCAGTGAGGAGAGCAGACCCCGGACACTAAGATCATTTCTTATTACAAGGCAAACACCATCCACATCTGGATGCTTGAATACAAGCAACATAACAGCAGCCGTTTGTTCCAAGAAATCTTTTAGATGACAACGTACCATCATCACCATCATTTTAGAATGAAAACGACAACACGAAAAAAAAAAACAAACAAAAAAAACACCCTCTTCTAACAAGTCAAGAATGATGAAGACAAAAAATGATCATACTTACTGGGGGACATTGTGCAAGTTTATCAGCTGCCACCAGTTGAACATTCAAGTGTTTACTTTGTGACTTTCCTCTAGATTTAATCAACCGCTGTAAAACCTGATAGAAGAAGACATGAACCTCAGGTATTGTAGATGAGTTAAAAGAAAATCAAATAAGCCAGGATCTTTTTAATGGTCTGCTTGGCCCCGAGCATTATAAGAGAGGAAATGCAGTGTGAGAAATCATATATTTAAACCTGTAATGATGTCATCTGCTTACATTGGCTCTCAGTTCCATGGATTTGATATGTTCATCCTATTCCAACTCTGAGTGAAGTCTCAGTAGGAGCCTGAGTTCCCACCCTAGATTTTCCCCAGAGATTTCAAAGAGAGCCCTGCAAAAATGGAGGAAGTGGACTGTACCAGGTCATTTATGTTAAGTAATGCTTTAATATTATTCAGTTGAATAATGTTTTAGCTCACTATCTCCATGTCAGATAAATGTCAGAGTCATTTACATCTTTGGTTATTTTTGTCTCCAATTATTAATGGGACATTTCAGTTTAATTTTAAAATAATCAGACTATTCTGTGATTAGGGATCCAAGCAAAACATTTGTATTAGTATATTGCTACATGTAAACCAGTGATATATCTATGTCTTTTGGCTACCGCTGTTAACTGCATTTGGCCATATACTGCCATCTCCCATGGCCCTTCCCCTGCAAACAGTGTTAATCTATGAGCTCTATAATACCGCAGGACCTAGGGTCTGGGAACTCCTGTTCTTGCACTTAAGGACACGACAGTGTCACGGGCAGTGGGAAGGGCTGAACTCTCCTGCACTGCAGTGAAGTGCTGGAATCCCCAGCAGTAATTTCAATTCACTCTACTGATTCTCAAAAGGCCCTAGTTTGCTCAGGATTCCCAAGTCCACTGCACCAAAGCAGTGTCTGCACAGGTAGATGGAAGGATAGGATCTCAGAAAATTTGGAGGAGAGTACAGCTTCTTTAGACATTCTCCGCCCATGAGAGGAGACTGCCACGCTGGTTGGCAGTTGAATTTGTATTTAGGCACCAAAATACACTAGGAGGCACAGAGAAGAAACTGATTATTAAGATGGTATTTCCCAAGGGCATCCATTTCACATTAACTTTTTAAGAACAATATCCTGTTTTAAAAATGAAAGAACATCCAAATCAAAGGAAACTAATTTGGGGCTATTTCACTTTTATTTTTATCTCCCACAGTGCCATAAAGATACAAAGCAAATTTCCCATTGTGCTTACCATGGAATAACTACATTCTTTCAAGAACTCAACCTAAGCACAAATCAGGGTCTATAATACTTCCATAGGAGATGTTTAAACAGTGATATTCTATTTTATATATGATCAATATAGATACCTTTTTTGATAAATATAGATGTACTCTCTCAACTAGGTACAGAGTATGGGTGACACAGGAATCAACAGTATCCAAGAAATTTACCAATATAGTATGATAAGCCAGAGTCTACTTTTCCACATCTGTCTTAATGTTTTGTTTTTATTAAACACTTGCATAACTGTCTGGTTTGGGATCTACAATAGTAGCTTTTAGAAGAAATGAACTATTATATTCTCCACTATCTGAAAATTCATAGAATCTGTACACTGTGGAAAGATTTTAAATGTGCTTATTAATAATCAGCAAGATGTTCTCCTTGTCCACTAACAAAAAATCACAGAGCAAAGCACATTTTTAAAAGACGCACTTCTAACCTTTAAGACAGAAAGGAGCTAATTACCTTTGGAGATGAGACTTTTACATGAACAATAATTGGTGCTAAGGAAGTCTTTATAAGTTGTGCTGGGTGATTGATGGTGTCTGCATCAAGAACGACCAGTTGCAAAGATCTTGCCAACTCAAAGATTCTTTCAATTTCACTTTGTACTTCCGCTAAAAGGAAAAATAATAAATAGATCCTGGTTATTGTTATGAATTAGTTCTTACATTAGAAAGATATAGTATATTTTCAGATATGTTGGTCTATATTACAAAATAAAATATTTTAAATTTTCACAGATGGCTCTCAGACTTCTTCTAGTCAACATAATATTTAGCTGTTTATATACCTACGACAATTCTTTTATGTTGTTTTTGATTGTTGTTTTGTTCTAAAAAACTTTAATGTTAGCCATAGAAGCTGAAACCACATTGAGAAAACAACTGAAATATATGTGCAAAGCAACATCACATGGAAAGCAAATTACACTGAAATATTTCTATCAACAAAGTATATACTAATACTTTGTGGACATGCTTAAAAAAAAAAAAACCCACAACTCATCTGTTTTGACTGATATGCACATTTTTGTACCACTGGTTAACTGCTCTGAATCTATCCTTAAAGCTAATCATATTACTAAGTCTAGTTAGATTTAAGTATGAGAGCCAGTGTACTTGCTCTAAGGCATAATTAGCTTCAGTATTAAGAACAAAAAGTAAGGCCAATTATATTAAAATGCTGCAATGCATCTAGATGCAAATCTCTCTGGCTGGCTGTAATAGCCAAGTGACCCAAATCTGTGCATGAGTCTAGTCAAATGAAAAATCTACTCTTTTCAAATGTCTGAAGCAATCCAGTTTTTTTTTTGTTTTTTTTTTTTTTTTTTTTTTAAGGAAAACAGATCATCAATATAGGACATGGCTTTCTGAAATATAAAAAAAAATTTTATATATAGTTTATAAATTACTTGACTTATTGGATCATGCCCAAAGTCTGAATTATACTTGATTTTCAGAGAAATTAATTTGTTTTCATTTTTGAGATACGGTTTTACTCTGTTGCCTAGGCTGGAGTGCAGTGGCATGATCTTGGCTCACTGTAACCTCTACCTCCCAATTCATGTGATTCTTATACCTCAGCCTCCCACATAACTGGGATTATAGGCACACGCCACCATGCCCAGCTAACTTTTGCATTATTAGTAGAGGCGAGGTTTAGCCATATTGGCCAGGCTGGTCTTGAACTCTCGAACTCCTGATCTCAAGTGATGCACCCACCTTGGTCTCCCAAAGTGCTGGGACTACAGGCATGAGCCACTGTGCCCAGCTGATTTTGTTTTTTTATTTTTATTTTTTGGCTATAGATTTGACCAAACAATGCTGTAATATGGTCCAAAGTACATAGAGTACACAAAACTATCTAATTTAAATTATTATTATTATTAATTTTTAGAGACAGGGTCTCACTCTGTGGCCCATGCTGGAGTGCAGTGGTACAGTCAAGGCTCACTGCAGCCTCAACTTTCTGGGCTCAAGTGATCCTCCCACCTCAGCTTGAAGAGTAGCTGGGACTACAGGTGGACATCACTGTGCCTGGCTACATTTTTTATTTTTTGTAGAGACAGGGTCTCACTAAGTTTCCCAGGTTGGCCTTGAACTCTGAAGTCCAAGCAATCCTCCTGCCTTGGCTTCCTGAAGTGTTGGCATCACAGGTGTAAGCCACTGTACCCGGCCTTAGATGATCCTAAAGATGGCCTAGGGAAAAGGTAATGTTGCTGTAACTACCCTCACTGAAAAGTGTTTGTGATTTGCTTTGCTTATTTAGTGTAAATTCAAGCTCACATTGCCCACCGAAAAATTCTCCCTTCCTTAACCAAAAGGATTGACAAGGTATGCAGGGTCAGGAATCCTCAAGACTATTATGAAAATCTATTTTCTCATGTTTTGCCTGATTGCATAAAATTCTTATTTCCCATAGAATCACTGAAGTTTAAGGCATGATCTGTATTAAAAAGGATGCATTTGAAGAGTCAACATATCACCTTTCAAGTTATCTAATACCAATGGCCTGAAAGACTTCACATTGCTTGGAAAGGGGACTAGCTTTCAGGATATTAATGAAAACAAAGTGGGCTTATTTGTCAAATTCTTCTGAAATCATATTCTACATTTGTTAGTAATGTAACATATTTGTCCCCTTTTTTCTCACACATCAGAAAGTTTTAAAAGAAATGTTTCTTCAGAAGGAAGTTTGGAAAATAAAGTCAATTTTTACTGTAGTAAATTTCAGCCTCAGGATGTCAGGGTATGTTTTCCATTTGCTGTTTTCATTAAACTGTCACTGGCTTATGGGAGCTCCTGGCTAGGACTATATGTGAGCAAGCCTATGTTTTCTTAAGCCTCAAATATGAATACAATATTTTCGGAAGCAGCAAAAAGACATTGACGCGAACTGGACTGCCCTGGTACAAATAACCCTCAAGGCACTCTGAGTTTCTGTGTAAGTGACTCAGAAATACCTGAACCTTATTTACTCTGCACCAGCGGTGAGGTTAAGTGTGGTTTCTGCCAGGAGCAAGGGCAGCGATACCTACTGCTTAACCAACATAAAACTCTTAGGCCATGGGCACTTGGGCAGAAGAAGAGAGGTGCTTGGGCAGAACAAGCCAGGAGGGATGCTGGAGAAGGCCACATTAAATACTGGGGTGAGCCCAATGTTTGGATAATACGTATACAGAATGTAAATAAATACATTTTATCTGTGAGGCACATTTATCTATATAGCCATCTCTCTCTCTTTTTTTTTTTTTTTGAAAAAGATCTCAGCCAAACCAAACAATGTTGGCTACCTGGACTGATTCTCAGAGGGGTTCCAATGAAGGTTTCCTCATAATCCTATTCTAGTCAAATGGAGCCCTGGGGAGTCATGGACTATGATGCTAGAGGACCTCGATGAACACTTCTATAAACTGATCATGACTGATTTGGGCCCACCTCTCTCCAGGATCTCTGTCACAAATGATATTCCTTATACCCAAACCTGTTCATATTTCTCCCATGCTTAAAACACTTCAGTGGCTCCCCAGGCCCAAAGCAACATTTCCCAAAGTGAGTACTCTGGAACAATACTCTCATAAGATATCCTATGGGAAGAAGGGGGTTTTGTGCAAGGGATATATTGCATACCATACTAGCTTCTCTTTAGAATTTCAAACATGCATTACCCTTTACATCTTCAAGGCTCTAAGAGTCTTGCAGAGAAGAAACCTGTCAGTTTAATCCATCATTTCCAAATTTATTTGACAATGGAAAACATTCTGAATGTAACAACTATTACTATGTTGTAAAATTAACATTGCATGGGATCTATTTTGGAGATCTCTTTAGCAAGGCACATTAGAACCCCAACACATTGGCCTCGGTCTTTTTCAGTCTCTTCTGTTCCTCTCAAATCACACCCCCAACTTCCCTGTTCTAAGCATGCTATACACAAATCTACTTCTTTCTCAACAATACATTTTTGTTTACATGTCAATGTCTTTGTACACTCCTGCCTTGAAGAACCAGCTCAAATATAACTCCTGAGAAGTCTTCTCACACATCTCCTACCCCCTACTCTTCTTTATACCCCTAGCTCTTTGTTCATAATTCCACTGTCACAGGTATTCTAACCATCTGTCCCTTCTGTCTCTTTGCCCACGGGTAAGACACTGTGTGTGGGATATGTCTGTATTTCCTAAGTCTAGTGTAATGCATGGCACATAACAAGTGTTCAATAAACATTTGATGAAGCAATCTACAAATGTGCATGAATAAGCACACAAATGGATCACATTGTGGTTATTATAATATTAACAGATTGCCATGAAATTAACTCCAATGGTTGTGGGTATATGACTTTAAAGAGTAAAGGTAAAAACCACGAGCTGAGATATACTTTGTTTCTTCTTGTTTACTCTAACTTGCCCCCTCATCCACCCCACTGACTCTGACAGCGGGTGACTGGATTGTAAGGATGACTTCAGTGAATACGGGTGAAGCCCTTGGCAGGTGTCAGTGGTTAAAGGAGTCAGACAACCTGGCTTAAGCTTTTAATTATCTTTTAGCCTCTCACCATACATTAGAAGAAGGAGTAGTTAAAAGCCAAAGACACTATAAGGAGTTACAAAATGGGTAGAAAACAGGAGAGCAGAGAATTGATGTTTATCTGAGAAATCCTCAACCTAACTTAATGTCCTTGTCACCCATTATATTTAACTTTAGTCATTACCTAATAGGATTCACCATCAACATTGCCATTGTACCTCCTCCAGGTCACAATACTGTGCCTTTGAGCATGCTTCCCTCTGCATGTGGAAGGCTCTAAATACAAGACTAAAGAAGGGACCACTAATCGCTGGGATCTTTCCCTCACAAGCACTGACCACTACTCTATTTGGTATGTTTCGTATTCCTTCACAAAGCAACCATCCAACAAACATTTATTAGCAATGATCATGTGCCAATCCCATGTCAGGAATACGCAGATAATACTTTGTACCTTCTTTACAAATTGTACAATCTTTGGCTCAAGGTCAGTGGGTTCTTAGTGTGATGTTAGGGCATGCACTCTGTCTTGGAAATCTTAATTTTGTTTAGTTTTCTATCATCTATAGAGCTAATTTCAACAGTTTAAAAAATGTAAGGCATGGAAGAGCCCTATTTATCCTTCCTAGTTAAAACAAGTTGCCCTCAGAATATGAATGTAAAGAGAATCCTAGGAAGTCATGAGCGGACTACACCACCCTTGGCAATTGTGGAGACCATGAACAGGCTTTCCAGATGAACAATGTAATTCACCAGCACTATGGACTTGCTTCTGTGGGTGGTGATTCCATCCTCCACAGCCCTGTTCACCTATGGCTTGATGGAGCTACTCACTTACAGTCTTTTATTCTTCTCCATCATGGGGAATTTTAGGATGCTTTCCGACTGGTACCCCAGGAAAGACATGTTTAAAGTCCCTGCATGTTACTAATGGTCATTGCCATTTGCAACACCAAGAACACTGTTATCTAGCTTTTCTTCTAAAGATCTCAGAAGGCTGAACACCTCGTTTCCTTTCACGTCAGCTGTGACTCAGGTATGACAGATATCATTAGCCCCGTTGAGAAGCTGAGCAAAGTGGAGATGAGTGGTTTCATGTGGTTAGGCAGGCAAAGACGACGAGAGCCCATTGAGGATTCTTCCCACCAGACTAATTAGCTAACTGACTAAAGCTGAGAGACAGCAGGCTCTGGCTACTGCAAGACTCTGCTGCCTTCCTGCCATAGCTAGCATTCTCTTCAGGTACTCAGTGCTCTCGCCATTCAGAATGGGGAACACATTGACAAAGACATTCACAAATGCACCATGTGTCAACCCGGTCTGTAAGCACAGCTTGAAGAAGTACCACATTTGAACATCTTACCTAAGCTGGACCGGGTGTTCGAACGTTCAATTATTGCTCTCTTGCTGGGATTATTTAGGACAGACCTCTTAGCAAGAGAAATGTCAGCTGTCACTCTCGTTATTGATATCCTATGAATAGGAACACAGAACAGAACAAGCCAGTAAAAATGTTATGGGGCTCTCCAAGTGATTTAGAATCACAGTACTTAATAACTAATTTACATACTACAGGGGAACCGCAGTATAATAAACATTGGCCACAAGTGTTTTAAACAGGCTCTGGCTAGTATCAGAATGCAAGCAGAGCAGAATGGAGGAAGGTTTAAACTGTTTCACACACACACACAAAACCTACTCCATTAAAAATATTATTCGTCCATTACGGCCTGCCTTGCTGAATTCCCTTTATAATACACACCCTACCAGGAAGGAACCAAAACATATAAATAAACCATGCTCTTTCTAGGAAGCAGCAATACAATTTGCCACAATTCATAGTTGATTTGCTCTTGAACAAGACCTTCAGGAACTACAAATGCTTTGCTCTGGGATTTAATGATGCTGGTCAAAGCTGGGAAACGCTCTTCATTTTGATTATCAAAGACAATCAACCAGTCTGTGGCTAAGTTGCATTCTTTTGTGATACACACGTGATTCTCCAGGGGCCCGAAGGGATACTTCATTTGTAAACATGTGAAAAAATGGTTTTATTTTTTCTGCATGCATAGGATTCTTCAGCATATTTGCATATGACTTTGAATGCATACGGCAGGCGAGCAGTCATAAGGCACTCTAGTTGAGAGCAATGTGAGTATTGTGCCAGGATTTGCTAAGTCAGAAAGTATCCTGCGGTCATGCAAGAATAAAGCAGGACCTGGCACAGTGGCTCACGCCTGTAATCGCAGCACTTTGGGAGGCCGACGTGGTTGGATCATTTGAGGTCAGAAGTTCGAGACCAGCCTGGCCAACAAGGTGAGACTCTGTCTCTACTAAAATACAAAAACTAGCCTAGTGTGGTGGCACATGCTTGTAGTCCCAGCTACTTGGGAGGCTGAGGTGGGGGAGGTCATTTGAGCCCGGGGGGCAGAGGCTGCAGTGAGCCAAGATCACGCCACTACCAATCCAGTCTGGGAGACAGAGTGAGACCTTGTCTCAAAAAAAAAGTGAAGAAGTAAAGACATTGCAAATAAATGCAGAGGGGCATCTATTTGCATATGATTTATCAAATGAGAACATCTGCAACTTAGAATTTAAATACTATTTTAAACTGAGATTGCTCAATTTCCAATCATCTACCAGTAGAATTCAAAGTTTGCCTCTTTAAACCAGTTACTGTCACCATGGGCCTTTCTCCATTCTTATCTTCACAGCTTGGTTCCCAGAAAGGAGACAAGGAAAGTAGCACCCCTCCCCTTTTATACTCAGTACACCCATTCTCTTCTGTTTTCAAACTCTTTGGGGATTGAAGAAGGAAGGAGGGCAGAATTATCAACAATTACTGAATCATATGTCATCTCATACCTGTCTGGGGACAACACTGTCAGGAGACTGTACCTGATTTCAGTGACCTAAAGCCTTGGGGAGAATTTAAAATAGTCCTTTCCTCAGATGTTCGGAAATCATTCTTTAAAACAACAGTCTGTGCAAAAGTTCTGGTGCCATTTTAAGCAAAGTACTGCTTGCCTGTGTCATTATATTTATATGCTGCAGGTTGTCAGGAAGTTTTCAATTCTTAATTTTTTAGAACTGTTAGACCCTAATAATTATTTGATGCATCTTCAAAATTGTCTCCCGCAGAAACCAAGAGTTTTTGCAGATACACCTCAGGGACTGTTCTGAGGACTAAAGGGAGGTTCAGTGGGCTCCAGCTTCACCATCCTCAGTGCCAGGTAAACACGCCTGCATTTCTGTTTTCTGCATTGGGGCTTTATATATGATTTCACTATAAAAAGCTGTTCAACTGCTAGAAAACACTGGTGTAACAACTTTTTCATTTTACCAAGAGGGAAACTGAGACACACACAGAAAGCTGCACATGGTTAGTTACAGCTCAGGTCTAAACCAGCCCCTGGGCATCGGGTCAGTGCCAAGTCACCTGACTCCACCATTCTCTTATAGTTCAGTGTTCTACAAGCCTGAATCTCCAGATGTGAGTCAAGTGGTCAAGCACGGATGCACAGTCAGTCTTGGCCTTGCTCTGAGATAGTAAGAATTTAAATCAAGTTGAGGTAGAGTAAACCCCACCTGACTTTCCATTACTCCAGTTGGCCACTGCAGCTTTCAGGCATGAAGTCTCATAGGCAGCTCCTTTCCTTTCCAGAATAGGGTTTGTGTGGTTTTATTTTTTAATTTAATTTTCAGTTTTTGGTCAGAGTGTCGCTCTGTCACCCAGGCTGGAGGGCAGTGGTACAATCTTAGCTCACTGCAACCTCCACCTCCCACGTTCAAGCAATCCTCCTGCCTCAGCCTCCCAAGTAGCTGGGATTACAAGCATGTGCCACCACGCCCGGTTAATTTTTGTATTTTTACTAGAGACGAGGTTTCACCACATTGGCCAGGCTGGTCTCAAACTCCTGACCTCAGGTGATCTACCCACCTCAGCCTTCCAAAGTGCTGGGATTACAGGCGTGAGCCACCATGCCCGGCAATGTGTGTTTATTTTTGTGTTTTTGGGTTGCTGGTTTATTTGTTTTAAGAATGGAGCTGCTGGATAGAAACATACAGGCATGTTTCAGAGCAATCCAAATATATGATGAGAGACAAATGGGTAGGTTTAGGGACAGAATTCAACTTTCTAGACTAATGATTTTTGGAGGACCCAACAACCCAGAAAGTTGAATTCTATTCAGCTTAAGTGAAAATCAAATTTTCTAGTTCTATACAGACAAGAGACTCTTGGTTCTTCAAATCTGAAGAGATTAGCATCAGATTCACGTTTACTTTTTCTGAGTTACAAAAGTACTTTTACAAAGCTATTTTCAAACACAGCCAAAGTTTGAAAAAATTCAGAAAAAAACTGCTTCATATGTTCCAAAATAGAGGGAAAGATGCGACAATAAAGGGTATGTTTTCTCATTTTATTTGCTAATGCAAGTTAGTTTGCTAATACAAGTTATTTATTAATCAAAATACACATGCATAAAACAGAGCTCAGAAGAAGACAGGCCTAGCCCTAGAAAACCTTCAGTAAGACAAAATAGGAGTTTCTCTTTTCTATGCAAAGATGCTGACTATTATCAAAATCAGACACCAAACCCAAAATTCTTTTTTGTAAAAGGCTCTCCAGAAAAGCAATCACATTCACAACTGAATACTATCTAGCTTATATACTATTTTTAACTTAAAGTAGTATCCTTTCTACTTCTTTTCTTGCTATCCTGAGACCCCCTAGTCTCAGCATTCCTATGTACCTTGTTCAATAAACATCTCTAAAAAGTTCCCTTGGAAAACTTCCTGTGACTTGCTGTTAGTAGTTACTGGCCAGTAGGTAAAAGACTAATAGGAGTTTAGTTCCCCAGCAGACTGGATGTAGCAGCACATGTTCCTGAAAACTAGCAAACATCATTCCCTAAATAGAGTAAATCTGAACCCCCATTGTTGCTTATTTCCACTTTAGAATTCATCCTAACTGCTGCAATCCATCATGAGCTGTATTAGTTTTCTGTGATTTTCTGTGGAAAGATATTGTTTTCAGTTATAACACATTCATTAAAAAATAATCTGCATTTCCACGCTGGTAACATAACAGCTGTAAGATCTGTCTGTATTCTATCCTTGCTACATCCAATATGCAGCCCAGACAGTATAATAATTTTGGAAAACTTCTAGTATTAGTAGGGAAAAGTGTTCCAAAGAATGGAACAGTGCACTTACAGGAGAATTGAAACACACAGGAAGACCTGGGTATCTTCCTGGATCTTTCTCCTGGTAGTTGCATGAGTCATTCTATCTTTTGACCTCAGTATCCTAATCAATAAAATGGTAATAGTAGCTTTGGCATAACTATCTCATGGGATTGCCACTAAGAGCAAATAAGGTTATATATAAAAGTGCATTCTTAAATAATTATTCATAGTGTCCTCTGTTAATAAAAACTTATATAATGTACACAAGGCAAACAATTATTAGAGATTTAAAGACTTGAAGGAGATAGTTTCCTTATATCCTACTCTCAAAAGTGGGCAGTCTACCATGAACTCTCTCATTCCCAGAGTCTGTGAAATGTGGGTGAGAGAATCAGGTCAGATACGTTGTACTCAAACTACTAATTTAAACATTCAAGTTTGACACTGAAGTGTTCAATTAATTATTACTGGTGTTTGAGTGGCTGTTTATGAGTCTGCATTTGAATAGAGAACAGTAGGAAGAATGCATAGAAGAATGAAATTGATTATGAAACAGAAGTTGTGGCTGTTCTTTTACCATTTGTTGACTGCAATTATAAATTATCTTCATTCTTATACGGCTTGGTTGCCTTGTGATAGAACCAATTATTCCCATTTCCTTTTATTAATAAGTACTATCTCTTTGAGTCTCCCTAAGTTGTATGTTTAGCTTTTTTTCTTTCAAAGTCTTTCTCAAGCCTATTTTTCCCTTTATGTGTTCTTTGGCTAAAAGTATCCTTTAGCTTGAGATCTTATCTGTGTAGATTACATGATGTTCATCTAAGATTTTTGGCCATGATCATTATCAGTTACAAATTGTCCAATAAATGTCATAGAGTTGATCTGATCCAGTTGTCAAAAGCCTAAAGTAACAACTTTTGGGAGGATTTGAAATGACTGGCATAGGTCAACAAACTGCAACTGGTTTGACTGCTGGCTGTTCAGCCTGTGAATGGTAGATTCAGCCAGCTGAACAAACCTCATCCAAACGGGTAATCCCCAATGAATATTTGTGGTGTGAAATGAAGAGAGACGCTCCATGCCCATTGTGTATCCGCTGTGTCCTCGTCAGCCAGGAATCACTGCTCCATGTGGATATTCACAAATACAGAGGGCACTCAGGAACTATTTAGTGTCGTGTTTTTCTTTTTCTTTATGAGACAGAGTTTCGCTCCTGTTGCCCAGGCTGGAGTGCAATAGCACGATCTCGGCTCACCGTGTAACCTCCGCCTCCCAGGTTCAAGTGATTTTCCTGCCTCAGCCTCTTGAGTAGCTGGAATTACAGGCATACGCCACCACGCCTGGCTAATTTTGTATTTTTAGTAGAGAAGGGGTTTCTCCATGTTGGTCAGGCTGGTCTCGAACTCCCGACCTCAGTTGATCTGCCCACCTCGGCCCCGCACAGTGCTGGAATTACAGGCATGAGCCACTGCGCCTGGCCTAGTATTCTGTTTTTCTTACATGTATCACAGTTAGGCCCCACAATAGCAGCTATAGCAATAAAATTGTATAATAAGTAGCTCTAAGCTGACTCAAATAATTTCTAAGGTATCGAAAAAATCCCAAGTTTATGATTCTGCAATAGTCAAACAGTTGGACTTTCATCCAATTTGTTGAATTATTTTCTACTAAGATCTGAAAAGCAGATGAAAGAAGAAAGCCTCGTAGGCAACAGATCCCTTCTTTGTACTTTCCGAAAAATAATAGGACTTTCTCCTATTTTGTCTAACGCACTGCATTCATAGCCCATGAAACACAGCGTAGGTTTCCATTAGAATGTATTGTTTATGCCGTGTCACTGTGCTAAAACCTTCCTTGTCATTGTTCTCTTGGCTGGTATCAATTAAAGACTATTTGTTTTTTTTCTCTCTTTGTATCAATTGGTAAAACATAATGCAGCACAATGTTATAGCTCAAAACCTAACAATATTCCCACGAAGAAGACATGTCAGAGTCAGTGTGACGCTACCAGCGAATTTCTTCTTTCTTATCAAAGTCTCCACATACACTCAGGCAAGGAACTCATTATTGTTCATCCTGCTGCCTGGCCTCTTAATATTTGAAATCAAGTCCATTCTCTCACCCCTCACCCCTTTAATATTTACCTATCTTTCTCCAGCCCTGCTGGAGAAATACATCAGATTTCTCCAGGGCTAAGTCTCTCTCTTCAGCTATTACTTTTGCTGCTGCTGGGCTCTTCCTCTAGACCCTCTGCCATGTCATCAGATCCCATGAACACTTGAGATTGAAATTTGCATTCAATTTCTATTAAAACCAACTTCAATAGTATGTGTACAGTAATGGATGCAGACAATTCTACTTGATTCAGGACAAATCTCTGCTGTTACAATTAAATAAATTCCCTTTTTCTTGGCCTCAGGATTGAGGAAGAACATCAGATTCTTCATTCTTGAAGGCGAACCTTTAACAACGCTGTCGTGTATCAGTATGTTATAGACCAAAATAATGCAAACGTAGGATGTCTTATGGGAAGGGATTTGCTCAGATAGGGCTGTTATGGGGCCAGTGGATTCGGCACTGCTCAGAACTGCCTTAGGTAACAGCTCCACAGGTTAAAACCATGTGACTCCATACATATCTGAAGGAACCGTACATGTGCACCCAAGAACACAGAAGACTGGGCTAGGCATGCTGGCTGCCTTCAATCCACAGGGACCTGCATGAGGGTTAGGGTTAAGGCCAGAGCATCAGACAGCAGGACCAAGACCAACCCTATTAAGTTACAAAGTCAAAGTTCAGCTGTTTCTTTGCAATGCTTTTTAGAAAGTGAATTCCCAATAGCCAAAAATTTCAAATGGAAGCAGGTTATCTACCTGATTGTGGTTGTTGGAGAAGGGAGATTAGTCTAAAAGACATTTTATGTATCCTTCCAACTCCAATGCTCTAGGATTCAGGGCTTTTAACTTATTTTATTTGAAACTACTTCATTATCTGCGTATTTCCTTTTTAAAGAGAGTGAAATGGAATAAATACATCTTTCTTATTAAGCCCTTGTCCAGTAGATGAATGTGACGAAGGCTATTACTGGTTCAACAAATTCTATCTTCTCTTCCTCCTGGACTGCAAGAGTGCCTCCGCTGCAATAAGTATGACTACATAACCAAGTTCTAACCAGTGAAATGTGAGTAATAACGTGCTCTATCTCCAGGCCCGGCAAGCTGACTAGAGACATCATACCTGGGCTAAGGGCCCCAAATGACAGAGGGAACAAACTTTCTGCCCAATTCTCCCCTCCCCCAACTCCATCCTCCCTCCCAGCCAAGGAACACCTGCCTCAGACTGTTAAGTGAGCAATAATAAGTTTCCATTGTGTTTGAATCACTACACATTTTGGGGTCTATTTATTAAGGCAGCCTGACCTACATACTAATGTACCTAGAAGTATTCTTATTTCTTAAACTAAAATCTCAGTTTACTTTCTTTCTATATAGTTCTAGAAACTAATGAATATTTTACCCAATTATCCAGAAAGCTTTTAACAAATGCATACAATTTATATTTAAAGCAATACCATGTTTATTTTTATTATTAATATACCAATTTATTACACTTTATCTGAAGTTTTTTTTACATTTTAAAATTATTTTGTGCATTTAGCGCATTCTCATAATTTAGCAAAGAGAAAGTGAGTGGCTTAATTACTGCCTTCAAAAATAAAGAATGTGATGTTCTTCCGCTATCCTACAGTAATAAATTGGATGCATTTGCCCATACTTTTTGATGCACACTATTTAAATTTTCCACATTTCTGATAAATCTTCAGGTTTTTTCATGTGGTTATTTTTACATGGACTGTATTCTGCATATGAAAGAGCTTAATATTTAGAATTGAGTCATTACAGGCTTTTAACCATTTCTCTGCAAAACAGAGAAACTTTCTCTAGATATTTTTCACAAAACTTAAATGATAAAATTATTTAATGGCTAATGTCTGAGCCATATTGTTGATGGATCATAGTAAGATACATTAAAAAATAGATCAATAAAATAACAGGAAATTTCTAATAAAAGTAAACCCTCAACTATAATAAATATCCATATAAGTACTATTCCCTACAAAATGATCACTTTGGGAGGCTTATGATTAAAAGAATTCTCACTCACTTCGTTTGAGAAAATTCAGTACTTGATATTTATACTTTCATATGACAGACATACACATACACACACACACTGCTATACACACACACTGCTATTTATACTTTCATATGACACACACACACACACTGCTATACACACACACTGCTATTTATACTTTCATATACACACACACACCCCCCAAATACTGCCTAGCTTGACCAGCAAGCCACTATACTCATCAGAAATATTATATATTTTAATTAATTTTTTAATAAAAACCATTTGGTATCAAATTATTAATAACTGAGAAAATAAAGACATATACATTTAAATAAAACAGATGGCTTAGTTTTCTTCTCCTGGTCCTTTCTTCATTGGGGACTCAATGTTATACTTCATATTTTCAGAGTTCTTTTATTATATTCTTCCCAAGAATACTGAGTTAACTTTTAACTAGAGAACTTCTGAAATCTCTGGAAACATACATCTACAATTCAATTTATCATACAAGTTTGGTTAAAGGAAAATAAAAATACAAAAACATCTATATTTCTCACCTCCCATCAAACCTGTGCTTCAGGAAATCAAAGAGGGCTTTCTGCATCATGTCTGTTACCTTTGCAGAGGTGAGAAAAAAAGAATGAGGCAAACACATGCAGAGAGAGAGAGAGAGAGAGAGAGAGAAGTCAAAAGTGAGAGAGGAGGGAGGGAAGGGCACTATGAGCCAAGACCTTATTGCAGCCAGTCGTCTCCTGGGGGGAAGTTACCATGGAAGATGTTTTTCATGCTTAACCATGTGCAATTGCTAATTTCCACCCCCCTTGGTTCTCCTCCAGGGTGTTGAGGAACAAACCAGCAGTGTTCACCAGACCCTCTTCCCTCTTCCCTCTTCCCTCGTTAGGGGATAGAACTGCTGCCAGGAGACAACAGGCTGGCTTTGTACACAGGTGCCGGGCATCCTTGGCACGCCTGAGCTGTGCCTGCCCCCAGTGAGGAGCAGCTAGAGAATTGAGGCCAGCACTGGACTCAGCCTTCCTGCTAGTTTGTGCGTGTTGGAGGAAATTCTCCATGCCCATGGCTGGATTTTTGTAGACCACTCCTCCTGCTCATCCCTCTGACATTTCCAACTCAGAGAAAGACAAGAGAGAAAGAGAGGGGGAGAGAGCAAGGATTCTTAGATCTGCCTGAAAGAGATTCAGTAATTCATTCAGCAAATGTGTACTGAGTGCCTACTATGTGCCACACATTGTCCTAGCTCGATGGGAATGGTGTCCTGGAGGCTGCTCACCTTCAGAGTTTAAATGTCATATCTATCTACTTTTTAATCCATGCTAGCACAAAGTCAAAACAAACATCTGAAACAAAGTCTCTACTCTTTTCCTTGTCACATGGTTTTGTTTGATCTCCAAAGTTTAAAAATGTGCCCTTTAAAATAAACAAGCAGAGAAGGATTTGGTGGCATATGCCATCATCTTAAAACCCCAGCAGGGTGAACTCTGTTTGGGCTTTAAAAGTTTGGGTTTGCTGGAAGATTGATTGTTTGTCCTCTTGTGCTGTTCATTGTCTATTACTTCTAATAATGAGAATGGTCAAGACAAATAAAGTCCTTTTCTTTGCATTTAATGCACAGCAAATCTTTGACCAGATCTTCCCATTGTAAATATTTTGAGAGAGGTATTTCTAAACAATGTAATACATAAAAGATGAGAAGTGTCCAAGAGAGGAAAGAAAGGGCAAAGGGCCTTGTGAGCCCCACACAGTACCCCCTGCCTTCCCATGCTGAGCACTGGCTTCCATCAGGACCCACGTGGAAACAGACCCTTGAGGAGCAAGCGGCAACACGACCGTCTCCTGGGCGCTCGATCAAGAACTGAAGAGTAACAGATGATATTTGTACCTCATAACCTTTCAGTGACGGCCCCACTAACACCACCGGACGCATTGATGGCACAACATCGTAAGGAGGAATGTGCTCCGTCTGAAAAAGAGGATTCGACACGTGTGACAAGGTGAGGTTGAGCATGCCTCTCCACAGTCACAACATTCATAATGCTCAGGTCAAACGACAAATGATTATCAAAGTCCCCAGCGAGGAGGCTCTTCCCTTATTTTACAGCCACTTTGGGTCACTGAAATGGAGCACTGCAGGCATGTACGTATAGGAACCTTAACAGTAGATTTAAAAAGGAAACACAACTTACCACTTTTTGCTTCTGTTTTGCTAAAAGACAATAACGAGAGCCATATCAAAATATGCAATCTCTGCAAATGACAGTACATGAGTTTAAAAGATGGAAGAATGTACCCATTTGCCCCTATAATTATCTTCACCACTTTCCTATCACCCACTTTGGAGAACCTGCTTTACGATTTCATTCTGGACATGTCAATGTTGAAGACGTATGAAAAACAGACAGCCCCTTCCCTGGTACAAACGACCTTATATCCTGATTTCCCATTGGGTGGGAGTTGGGTACAGGAGTTGAGAACAACACTGGAAGTTCCAGGCCAGCCTTCACCATGCGTTGTTCCCGTGCTGGACACAGCACAGTGTTGCTGGGAACAAGTTGGACAAATGCAATTTCATAAAAGGAAACAGAATAACCACTTGGGCAAAAATGACTAGCACCTCAATCACTAGTTATGTTTATATTTGTAACTCATAATTCTGCACCCCCTTGGGCATTTTTGCCCATTTTCTACAATATTGGCACATTTTTCCTACTATGTTGCTTTTAAATTTCAAATACATTTATAACCAGTTATTCCTCAGATAAACTTATAACCAGTTTTTCCTGTTCTTTCCTGTTTGTAATAGCTAAAGTCTGCAATGTCCTGAATGTCCAATAAATGGGAACAAAGCAAAATATACTCAATAACTGATTTAAAGCAATTCTGTGGACATCCAAGCAGGTCCAGTCTAGTTGCGTACACCTCAGAAACCTGGTTTGGTTCAGTGTCCTGTAGATCAGAGGGCTTCACATGCACAAGGACCCAAACACTTAGAACCATTCCAGAACCAATCCAGTTGCCTCCAGTTTTGGTAGGCCAGAATAGGGCCTTGGACTTGCCTTTCCAAATTGATAATACAATTGGAATTGGTAATTAGGGCACTGGATGCCCTAATGCAACAGTTCTAGGCCAGAATGAAATTAGCCTATAGGAGTCAGGGAATGTGGTAGAAGAAAAATTCCTACATGAAGACCTCCATAGTTTCCAAATGCACCACAACTCCCAATTAGGCCACCACTGTCTCTTCATTACCATGAATTCCAGGGCTTGGCTGTCTGCTGTCCAAATGGAAATGAGGCTGTCCCTCATTTGGGCCCTGCCTGACTCTCTGCTTCAACCCTCCCAGCTCAGGCTGTACCAATACATCCTGAAGTTCCACATGGAGACTGAAAACAGGGCATTTTCTTGAGAGTCTGCTTCACTTTGTTTCCTTTTTTTATTGTTACTCACCATCTTAAAGTCTGTCCGTTTCTTAGGTAAAATAATGAATTTTTTGAATATCAGTTTACACAATGGACAGTTATTAACTCGGGGGGTTAAATAAGATTTTTCAAAATTATATTCTAACGACGTGAATTTTTTAGTACCATTTTAAATCAAATCAAATTACCATAGAAAACAAATGAGAAATGAAATATTAATTAGAAAAACCTTTAAATTAAGCCTTCAAATTGTTTCCAAATTAGCAAAAATACTTGCACGTGTGTTCAAATATTTTAAAAAGGAATACAGTCTATGAATAAGAGTTAACTAAAACCCTCACCTGTTGATGTGGGAGTTGCTCGAAATGTCCCAGATACCATTTCTCCAAGACTTGAAGAAGAGTTTCCACTTGATTTCCTAGGATATAGAAAAGGAACGAAAGACTCACTCCCCAGATTCTTTGAAAATAGAACTTGAGAGTACAAAGCTTTCTTTGGCCCTCATCCTATTAAATAATTCAAAACACACCAAATTCTGCTATAAAGAACTTCAAGAATCTGTCCAAATGTTTTCTTTGACCTCATTTCTAAGAGAATGTGGAGAACTAGTTAAGACCTGAAATATTTTGCAAAAGCATCTCTTCTAGTTAGTCAATGCGGAAATCAGGCAAAACCGTCACTGACGGGAATGTTCTTATGAACTGCTTGTTAACCTAACACCAGGCACCAATGTGCCAGTCAGATGTCAAACACAGCTCAAAACAAGCAGTAAGACCCGGAGAAACCATTTCTTCTTACAAGATGATTACGTGGGCATCAGAGTTAAGAACTGATTATAGGGAATTGGTCACAGAAAATATTATTTATTTGAATGGAAGATCCTCAACTCTGGTCTCCTCAGGTGTGCTCTGGAAGCTTCCCTGGAAGCCATCAGGAGCTGCCACCTTCCTACTTCCCCAGTGCCCCTCTCTTTTAGTCCTTAAAGAGTATGGTCCCTATAGTCAGAAAAATCTCTCTCTCCTCTTAGCTCTGCCACTTACTAGTTGTGGGACTGTGGCACATCATAATGTCTTTGAGCCTTAGGTTCCCCACCTATAGAAGGAGATGCTACACCTCACATGGTTGGTATAAAGATCAAACAAAATCATGTCTGTGAGCTCTTGGCTTTACTATTTGTGACTGCCACGAGGTAAGTTTTTAGTTTAAAAGTATATATAGTCAGCCGGGGGCGGTGGCTCACAGCTGTAATCCCAGCCCACTTTGGGAGACCAAGGTGGGCGGATCACCTGAGGTCGGAAGTTCCAGATCAGCCTGGCCAACATGGTGAAACCCCCATCTCTACTGAAAATGCAAAACTGAGCCAGGCATGGTGGCAGGCACCTGTAATGCCAGCTATTCCAGAGGCTGAGGCATGAGACTTGCTTGAACCTGGGAGGCGGAGGTTGCAGTGAGGCGATATTGTGCCACTGCACTCCAGCCTGGGTGACACAGCAAGACTCTGTCTCAGGAAAAAAAAAAAAAATTATATACTGTTATGAGAGGCTTAACAATGGGGATATCCTCTGAGGAATGTGTCACTAGGCAATTTCGTTGCTGTGTGAGCACTGTAGAGCGTCTTACACAAACCTAGATGGTACAGCGTACTCCATTGCTCCTGGGCTACAAACCTGTATAGGATATTACTATACTGAACACTGTAGATGACTCTAACACAGTGGTTAGTATTTGTGTATCTAAACCTAGAAAAGATACAATAAAAATACGGTATTATAATCTTATGGGACCACCACCATATGTGTGATCATCTTTGACAAAAATGTTATTTGGCCCATAACTGTAATAATTAACAAATAATAATAAAACTCTTAAAATGATAATAATTCAGTTATTTTATACAACAAATATTGATTGTACATCCCTGTTTTAGAAAGTAAAAATATAACAGTGGCATTAGGGAGACAAAATCCTTTCCCTTATTGAGTCATATACTAGTAGGACATATCAGTACAGGTTGAATATCCCTTATCCAAAATGCTTGGGAGCAGAAATGTTTTGGATTTCCATTGTTTTCAGATTTTGGAAATTCGCACTATATACTTACTAGCTGAACATCCCTAATCCAAATGTCTGAAATCTAAAATGCTCTGATGAGCATCTCCTTCGAGCATCATGTCAGTCCTCAAAAAGTTTTGAATTTTGGAGCATTCTGGAGTTCAGCTTTTCAGATTATGGATGCTCAGCTTGTACCAAACAAGATAAATAGATAAACATATGATATTTCTGAGAGTAATAAGTGTAACAGAGAAAACTAAGTCAGGGAAAGGATGGGACTTACAGGGAAGGGGAGTGAGTACAATTTTAAATACAGTTGGCAGGAAAGGGGTCACTGAAAGGGTGACATCTAACAAAGATATAAAGCAGATGGAGTGGCCTGGTGAAAGTGTGAAGAGAAAGGTTCCAGTAAGAAAAAACAGCAAATGCAAAGACCCCAAGACAGGAAAACATGCTCCCCATGTGTCTAAAAAGAAGCATGGAAGACAAACAGTTTAGGAAAAAAGGGATGATATGGTTTGGATCTGTGTCCGCAGGAAATCTCATGTTGAGATGTAATCCCCAGTGTTGGAGGTGGGGCCTGGTGAGAGGTGATTGGACCATGGGGTCAGTCCCTCATGAATGGTTTGGCACCATCTCCTGGTGCTGTTCCTGTGACAGTGAGTGAGTTACAGTGAGATCTGATTGTGTTAAAATGTGTGTGGCACGCGCCTCCGCTGGTTTCTTCCTTCCTGCGTCC